TTTAATCAAAGCGATGGTATTTTGGGGGTTAAATTCCACAAAACTGTACGTCGTTGCCAACATGACAGTTGTCATAATACAATTGTGACCGACATTAGACACAACTCTTGGATTCTGTTAGGATATTACAAATTGTATTCCCGACCTACATGTACATATGTACATGAAATATAAATGTACTTGATAAGTGACTTGACATTTTGCAGACATTTATTTATTTTGGATTCTTAGTCGTCATAGACAGTTGCCAGTTATATCGAATGATTTATGGCTGAAAAATTCTCAGACAGTTCTGTCATCATGTCATGGAATCCTACAAGGTCCATGCAGCAAGATTTTCTTTTTCAAGTGGGATCCCTCAAATGCGCCTATGTTTCCCTTTAACTTCATGTCTGTCTCTGTATTGCCAGTTTGTGCAAGGACATTTTTGGCTAATTTTGCTGATTTCCATATCAGTCAAAGCTGCTTAAGCCACAAAAAAATTTTTAAAAATACCAAAACAATCCTCTCCCAAGAATTTTTTCAACAATGGTCAATTCTTGGTGTGTTTTTTTTTGTAATTGTTGTTTGGTTCTTTTCACTGAAGACTGCTATTTTATTTTTGGATTTCAAAAACAAACAGTCGTGAATTTCTATACACTCGAAGACAATGCTTTGTGTTTCCCTTTGTCCCTGTAGTACAACACTCTCCAATAGACTAAGCACATCACCGTACGATCGAGGACCGTTTTCAACACAAGACCCAACGCTGGAGCACTAAAAGGATCTTAATTGTTCTCTCTTTGTGTGTCTATCCTCGATCGTAATTCCATACAAGAGCAACAGGACCCTCATGTAGCAGAAAAACACACACTGTAGAACAGATACTGTGAAAAACAAAAAAAACAGAGCACTAACAAATTTGTACCTTAATAAGATGTCTCTATATTTTTTAAGTACATGTGCATGTAGTTCAGAGCCATGGATAACTGCAATAAAGTGTGATTTTTAAAAAAATCCCTTTGCAATAGATGGAGTGCCATGGTCCAATGGTCACGGTGACATGCGCTTGTGTTCTTGGGCAAGACACTTTATCACAGTTGCCTCTCTCCACCCAGGAGTATAAATGGGTACCTGTGAAGGTAGAGACCAGATTGCGCTGATCTTGAACTGTTGTAGAAAAAAAATGGTCTCATGGCCTGATGAACTGGGATAATAATTGTTAAGCGCTTTGAGACCTTTGGTATAAAGTGCTACATATAAGTACCACAGTATCAGTCCAACTGATTTGCAATTTGAATTATATCTTTGAAATTCATCCCACGTCCCTTGTTGATTCCAAGGCCCCCGTGTGAAATTCGTTTTCATTGATTTCATTGCCCATTTTAATTTGATGTCATCCACCACCGTCACAAGTAAATCCACTGCCTTAATGATCAGATCCTGTTGAAGGACTTGGCCACAGCATCCGCCTTTTAATCTTGTCCTTCCCAAAACTGATGAAAACATGCCGCGTTTAATTCTAAGCCACTTTATTGATTCAGCTCTCGACATGCAAGACCTCTCGACTGCCGGTCCGCATATTAAACCTTGCTTTATTTTTGGACCCGTCTAAACAGAGAGATTTTTGAAAAAATCAGGCTTCAATTCTGTCTTGGCTTTATCCCTGACTTACATGTAAGACTCATCAAGAAGCTTGAATTCACAATGGATAGACTCTACATTTTGGCCTTAAATTATAAGAGTTGATGTTCCTGCAGCCAATTTCACTGAACGTTACGCAATGGTGTAACTCCACATGTGCAACAAATTATGGCGTAACTTGCACAATCATTTACATGTAGGTTGCGTAAGTTGTGACATACTTGTAGCAGCTGAAATTGAACTTTTTTGCTAGCAAATCATGACCATCGTGGAGCCTGTCATTCCACAACTTCTCAATGTTGATACAAGACACTCACAGCTGTGTGTTTGAGGCACATGAATTGCTATTTTGCTTGTGACAGAATGTTTAGAGTTGCCACACGAAAGTCGGACAAAGTTATTTTTCAAAATGGTAAGGTGTAATCCAACGACTGTTTTGTGACCGTTTCATTAATGCTGCTATCCCCTCTTCCAACTTGTTTAGATTAGTTAAAAAGTTGCACAGTACACCTAGTTTCCAGAAATTGATCGTAAGCTTACTGCTTAAAGCTAGAGTCCATCATTTGCAGCCATCCGAAAAGTAACTGGCGCAATTATTGTTAGAAAACAAACTTGGTTGAAAGATAGTAAGGGAACTAAACTCCCTGTGAAATTATTCTTTCTGGGAAGCTGTCATTTTGAAGTAATCAATGAAAGAAGGCATTTCCAACGGTGATTCTTAAGAAGCACCGTAGGAAAATTTAAATTAGTAGTTCGTTTTGTTATTCAGCACAGCGCGCACAAGTATTGGAACGACGCACACGCGCGCGCGGTTGTTGTAATTCGTCGTATCAGTGCGCGACGTCGCGTATAGCTGCAATTCAAAACATGATTCAGTAACTTTTGATTTGAAATTGAGATCTTAGAATGCTGTTTTTCTCGGAATGTACAGCTGAAGCTTAGCTAAAACTTCATCAGGTTAGTTGCTCAGTATCCTTCATTAGAATTTGAACTCTTTTGTTGCTTCAAACGAACAAAATGCACAAATTACAAATGATGGACTGTAGCTTTAAACCACACACTGTTTTGGGAAATCAGCTACTGAATCGGAACATGGACCCATGTTGAGCTTGACTAGCCAAAGACAGGGGCTCAAATCTCCTCAATCCAAAAGCTAAGGGCGATGCCGCAATTTCAAAAACCTCCTTGGTGTGTCCTCGTGAAATTGTCAGGTTGCATGCATCATCTTCAGCAATTGCAGACATTGGGGCGCATGATTCACAAAGCAAACGTGTAATTTAACCCTTTGCCCATTGTGTCTTCCCATCTGATTAGATCCTCGCTTCCTCTTCGCTTCCTTGTACTTAACAAGAAGGAACATGCCCTAATGGAAGGACGGATGATATTAAGAAGATTGGCTTTTCAATTCCAATTGTACTCACTCGCGGAAATGAAAACTTGTTTCTTTGAGCATCAGGTGCAAGCATTTCTACCTCACTAATTATCTTAATGAAGTGAGTACAGAAAAAAAATTGTAGTAGCTAGGATAAACCTGTGTCAGCAATAACAGAATACAACGCAATCAAACAAATTTCAAGAAGTGCATGGCTTTTTTCTCTTTTTTTTTGGGGGGGGGGATTGATTCCTTTGTGTTTCATTCACCATAGAAGTATCCTGCATGAACCAAGAATGAATGTGGGGGGTGTAAAGGGATTTGTTCACAAAAAAACTGATAAGAGTAAAATACTTAATTGTTAACTTGCCAAACAAAACATGTGAATTTTGAAGGTTGGAATTGACAATTCACCATCTTGAAAAAAACAACAACCAGAGCTTAACTTGAGCCAGATTCTACAGGATTATGTTTCCATAAATCAAGAGGTCATGTACTGTGTTGTATTTTAATTACATGTTTTTGACAGATGTCGTGAGTTACTTTACAACCAAATAAAATCAGGAAAAATCAATCTAAAATTTTGCCCAGCTGTTGAATGTTTGATTGTCATTTTTTCGATACCTTCACTCTGGCGTGTGAAGCATCTGCTCTTTGATGGGGGCGATGCATAAAAACAGTGAACCGGCAATCATTCGGCTTTCGCAGTGTGATGACTACGCCAAGCCATGCAGAAACGAAGCACTAACGTGCACTTATCGGTGAGCGATGCGCAACAAGAGGAAGAATTCAATATGAGGTTTTGCTCTTCAGAGGAAGAAATGCGGGAAATTTGGGTTGATGGACGATGGGGAAAAATGTCTTTGAGAAACATTCATGTGAAAGGAAACACTGATACTAGTACGATACCCTCCACTCTACTCTAGGTCTACTCTCCGTTTCTATGGTCCCCGTTTGTGGAACACCATTGAAAACGATATCAGAACAAGGACGTCCGTGGGCCGTTTTAAATCCTCGTACGAAAAGGCACTCCTATCAAAATATGTAACATAGCTTTCCCTCCTCAGCCACTCTCCATAGCCACATCTCTTCTTTTCATACAATTCATTGTCTCTTTTATTTAACTTATCCTCATCGCATCTACTAAATTTGTCTCGGTTTTTAGTGTCCCGTCTCGCGTTTTGTTTTGTTTTGTCTTGTCTTTAGTTTCCCTTGGACTGTTTTCGTGTTTATTCCTATTGTCTGTGCATACTGTCCTGTATTGTCCGTTTATGTGTTAGGCTGTTCTCTACAAGCTTCAGTTTATATGAACAGCCCCATACTCTTCACCCTTATTTAATATATTTAGTCGTTGTACTACATTGTTGTATTATTTATTTAATTTATACAATTACCTTCTTTTTATTTGAAAAATTAGTTTGACTTATTTGTGGAAAGTATGGAAATAAATTCTCCGCGATAGCCTCTAAAAACATTTTTTTCGCGACCCGAGCTGTTATGACTTTTTAGCCTCGAGCTTTGTGCATCTTTTGATACCAAAAACATGAAAATCGGACCACTGGTTGCCGTGGTAGTCATGAAATTTCTTGGGTATGTTTAGGAAGAGTTGCTCTATGCATGTACTGAGTTTCAAAATTTTTCATCACTCGATGGCCGAGGCGGAATCCCCCCCCCCCCCCCCATTGTATGCAAGGTAAATCCTATATTGTTGACAAAATATATGCACAAGTATTGAGCAATGTTTTTAACCCCAGTCGTTAAAAAATTAACGAAGTTACCTTCCTGGAAAGTGAAATGCTTGTGACAGAAAGGTGTACATACATCGTTGACTCTTTCTAAAACAAAACTACCTGCGGAGGGCAGATAATACAAGGTCCAATTTTTCAAATGTTTACTTTTTTTAATGTATCAACATTTCTTCGATGCGTAAATGGGAGTTATCATCTCAAACTGAGCGGGAAAACTCTGATTCTTAAAGAAAAAAACCTGAATTGTTTGTACTCACCTTGGTGAGAAACTCCATCTTCAATGGTGCTCTCTTTAAGTCTAGATGTACCAGTCTAAAATAAAAAAGGGAGGAAAAAAAACACATTACAAAGTAATTCTCCTGAGAGGAATCTGTTTACACCTTGTACGCTGGATTGTGAATGCAAACTTTTGACATCACAGTACGTTTTCTCACTGGGAATTTGAAAATGTTAGAAGTTACGCTCCCCGTGCTCTCCAACAAATTCGACAAAGCTCCTATTTTCGGACGTCTGCTTCCCTCTGGAAAAATAAAATATTTTGGGCACATACATGTACTGATGCTATGCGAGCAGATTAGCTCCCAGTCCATGCATTATTGAGAAGTCACTGATTGTGCAGCGGAAACCAGCCTACCACACGAGAACGGAATTATTGTCTTGCAGCCAATAATTCAAAATTGTAAAGCAATAATTCAATAACTAAACATGGGCTGATTTTTGTGGTCGATGTCTCGATGAACTTTTGTATTGCTAGAAAAATAGCAATTAAGAAAAACAAGCAATTTTTCGGGAACTTTAAACATATTTCAACTCTGGCAGATTTCATAGCAAATGTTCTGTGATGTAATATTCGTTTCGCTATCGACCATTACACCTTGTATCTGTAGCAGTGCATGAAGAAATCACACGCAGAAAACCTTTCTCACTCTGCATAATCAAATCAGGCAGCATATTTTGCCTTATTGATTAGAACAGAGAGGAGGCTACCGTACATGCAAGGTGACTTCACACATTTTTTTCCTTGACAGGTGATAAAATACATAAACCAGGTTCCTGGTTGCTATCAATTAGGCATTTTAAATTCGTACATGAACATATACCGGTAGTTTTTGTTTTTGATTTGTTGATTTGTTTGTTGTATTGTTCTTTTTGGGGGGGGGGGCACCTCGGCCCAAAAGATTCAACATATCACTCTTTTTAGATACATGAGATACAGTAATCAGGGATGAGATTGTCAATTAAAAATGAAAATTGATCAAATGTTTGAAAAATGCATAATAATGTCTTTCTCGGATTCAGAAAGTCTGGCTTTAAGATAAAAGTCCGAAAAATCTCATGCCTGAGTAATGAGAGTTTTTATTGGGGGGGGGGGAGGACCCCATGGCATCCTGCACAAAATTCAGTTTATTTTCAGACATACACATAAGGCATTATTGTATAAAAAAGAAAACATCAATAATTCACTGTCAGAAAAAAAGCTTTCTCCTATTTTCCAACGATAATGATGTATGATTTTGACCTGGGCACAGAAATTTGACCTGGGCTCAGGATTTTGACCTGGGCACAGCACATTCTTTCTATGCTTTGCAGCTTTCAACTGACCCCTGGTCAACTATAGCATGATAAGCAGAAAACAGGCTGAGGCCCAACTCAATTTTTTTCTTTCAAAAATTGATCTGACTAACACCTTGATTCACAACAAACGATTCTCACAGACCAACAAAACAGCAACTGTTACCTATGGTACTGGCTGGGCAGTGGGACCTCCACTGGCTTGTTGAACAGGATAGCATCAGCTGCCGCCATCGTTGAATTCGACAAAGCTGTCACCCTCGCGTCCATGGAGAGACTCGCCTTCCAAAAATATTTGTTGTGGATCGACTCTCTGAAGATTATCCCGGCAGATTTACGGCAGTTTCCTCAGACAAATCACTCAGCTCAACTTGCAGCCCATCCTCATGTAACGGTACTATGCTAGCGGGCTTTGAATAGGATGAAGCAGGCAAATCCGTTGATCTCTCGTTGCTTTGGTGTAATGTCCAATGACAGCTCTGGATGGTTTGTTGACCCACAGCCAACTGCTGCAATAAAAGCCGAGGAAAAAAATATATATATATATGAAATTTGACCCAGGAACTGTGATTTCAATCAATCTCAACGAGCTTGTCACCCACTCTCACGAAAAGGAGCGAACAGTGGTGTATGCTACACAAACCGATGGTATTGGATGTCACTGCGTAATGATATCCACCTCGGAAACCCACTTTAAAAATCAATATCACTCCTTCCCTGTGTGGTCAATTCAAACACATTAAGTTGTGCATGTATAAGGAGTTGGGTTTGTTTGTTTTTTCAACTAAAACACACAGATAGTACAGTACCAAATACTTAAGTAAAAATATAATAAGTTTCCATGTATACCTGGTATGTACCGGTACTATGCATTGGTTGTCTGCCATGGATAATTTATTTCAATAATTCTGATACTGCTGCACCGGTGTGCCAGTTACAGCAAGATACAAGTGTGAACAGTGAGCTGCACACTGCAAATTGCAGTATTCGCAAGCGTCATTAACACGAAACTGTTATTTTCCTGGGTTCAGGTTCAACTCTCACTACAGATAATTCTTATTCAACCCAATGTTACATGTATAATATAATCTCAGTTGCTAATTTAACATTTTTAAACGTTACAGACGTTTTTCACTTTCTCCTCTTTCAACCAAGATGGATGAAATTTTGTAGTAGCAGTTTCATAGCGCAAATTACATTTAAAGAGTTTTTTCATTTTCGACATGTATGACTGCGAGTATCAGAAACAAGTTACATGCATGTACAATGTATTTTATAAATGTATTGGATTTGAACATGTGCGACATACAGACAAGTGACACATCAAAAATCAATGATAATGATGTTACATGTACCTTACGCAAAGCACTAATGGGTATCGGCTTTTGGTGACACGTTTCACATCATTTACTGCACAGTTAAAACTAAAAGAAAATACTCCAAATGTAGAGCCAGGTGTCACCTACGTAAATCAGCTTAAATCAGGAAGCTTAAACCAAAGTCAACACCAGCGCCATCTTAGATTTCCAAAGGCATCTCTTCCCCCTCCTCCTCCTCCCCCCCCCCCCCCCCACACACACACACAGTCCTGTTTTACTGTACTCCAGAGGACAATGCTTTGTGGTTTCCCTTTGTCCCTTTAATATACCGTTACACTCTCCCATAGACTAAGCACACAAACTTACTACAGAGGACCGTTTCAAACAAAAGACCCAACACCCGAGAACTGAAAGGATCTGTTGTTCTCCCTTTGTGTGTCTGTCCTCGGGGGTTATGTAGAACAGGTACACTCGTACACTCCCACACCCCACCCTCAACAAAACTACGAAGGCAAGATGCACACAGGTTGATGTTCCTCATTATGTGCCTCTGTCTCTGAAAAGAAATCAAGCTTAGCTAGCCTCATTGTAAATCCCCACACACACACACACACACTCCCTAAAGGAAGCCTGCCAGAAGTGCTCCAGATGCAGTTTTTAATTAAACGCAACTTTGGGTTGCAGGAACGTTGGGCTGTGTTTATGTGTGCCCACTTGGTCAAAACACAACAAAGCGTGAGTGTTCAGTGTTATCCATGGATGGTTGAATGTCAGGTCCATGCCTTACACAAAATTAATCAAATCTGGAAAGGACTGCTACTCAGGCAGTTTTAACCTTTGTGTACATCATGCACGTGTTCAGCGGCAGCAGAACAGTTTTTAAAATGGGAGAACAAAGCACAACACCCCCTGTGCCCGCCCAGCGGCCACTGGTCCTCATTCGTCGGTAGGGGGCACTCTTTTTTTATAATTTTTTTCGGTGAATGTAACACCCCCCTCCAGAAATCTGATAATCTGCTACAGGAACAATACATGCACCTAGTACATGCGCACAAACAAGTGTTCACCGTCGATCGGGGACATCCTATTGTCCCTCTTTTGTTTATACTCTAACTTTTTAGGAAGACTCCTGGGGTTTTGTACACGACCCCAATCGCGGACGTATGCTGGGAATCGTGGACGATATTGTTCTCTTTTGTTCTCTGGTATTTTTTGTCCCGGTTTGAAAAGATGAACACGTACCTTCCACCAGGATTTTAAGCAAATACTTGCAGCATTCATTTGTGTGGGTGGCTTGGAGTCGTGTCCAAGTGGAAAGAAGATGAATTGACACTGTCAACATGGAGCTATAAAAAGGATGTCAACAACAAGATGCTGTGACTCCAACATCCCAGTCCTAAGATTACGAGCAGGTCTGCAGTTAACAAACATCAATGCCCGTAAAACTGTCAATGCATGGAGAATAAACACATTTGATGCATGTTTGCTTGGATTCAACTAGAGATTATTGACATCCGATGCGTATTGATTTCATGGATTGTGTGTCTTTCGGGTCTGCAGGCTCGGGATTGACAGGACTACACTGTAGATTACATACCCGTAGGTAAGAGGCTACATGTACCGGTATATATGCATGTACAGTACGTATGGTCACGGCTACATACATTCTGTTCTCTCTTTTATTAAATATAATTTATGTATTTCATTTTATTATTATTTTTTCGGTTTTGGAGAATGTATTTGCAATGTAACCCAAGCACACTACAGAACGGTATCTCTATTGGGATGTCTGTACCTGTAGTTAAAGGGAAAATACAACATTTGCAAACATCAAAAAATAAAACTACCAAGTTGTTACGAAATACCTTACTACCCGTAGGATGTTGGTAAATGACAGTCTAAAGCATCCTGTAAAATTATGGCACCTGGTGTGAAGTCATTTTCAAGAAAAATGGTACTTTTGTATACATTTCCAACGGTGGTCGGCCGACCACCGTTGGAAAAAACCTCACTATTTTTCAACTACTGCTACAAATTTACCTTTTTTTTCAGTCCAAATTTTGTTTGCTATTGGTTCCATGAACGGGTGCAGGCCAGCTAGACTGGTTCCCTTACCTTACAATTTTCTGGCATTTTGGATCCATTTCATCTTTAGTGGAGTCAAGGAACCAGACTTCTTGAACATTTGTGTGTTTCTCGGTTTTTCCAGCATTTTCGAACACAACACTTCAAACATGTCAGTGTAACAATATTTGATCTATTATACTAGCCCCCAAATAGTTCATTTCTGAAAATTACAGCAAAAGCCAATGATGTGTATTCCCTTTAACATACTAGAAATAGAAATTGCCAGGTTAGTCAAATGTTTGTATACAAAGTAGTCCCATGGGTTCAATTTGAAGGGGTTTATAATTTATATAAAAAAAACAATTTGATAATTCAAAAAGACCTTATAAATCTTACTATTTACATGGAAATATCACAGCATAATTTGTCTTTCTTTCATAGGTTTTGTGAGATGGAACTGTTCAGAATGTTATTTCTACATAAAATGTGCAAAATTTAATGTTGCATTGTTTGCATGTACATGTACATCACTCAACAAATTTATGTGCATCACAAATAAGACAAAGCTGCAGCACATGGCGCAATGCGATTACGCGTCAGATGAGAACGTGCCCTAGGGCCTTACTTGCCCGGCTACAACACTGTACACAGCAGCAGATACAGTATATGCGCATTATTACACTTTCCCTTCTTGCAGTCCCAAGTTTTGTCTGTTAAATTTAACATGTTTAACACAACAATTGTTGACTGATGTGATGTGGGACAAAATACACACTGCATACACACACACACACACCCAGACTTGTTTCACATACCTAGTGTGGACTTTCCTTTCTTTTCGTGTAGTTAAGGAACACCAGTGGAAAAACTCATTTTTCTCAAACTGTGAAAACTCTTACAACCCAATTTTTTTTCAATGATTCCCTTTAGTGTTTCTCTTCATTCTGCTACAGATAAACCTAACCCAAAAATGCCTCTAAACCTGTTTTCCAGAAATGGGGAAACACTGTGTGGACGTGGGCAAGTCCACACTTCGTCGCTGCTACCTACATTATGTGGACGTCTTTTGTTCAGAAGTCCACACTGCGTATGTAAGACAAGCTCACTGAAATTTGTATCCTTGTGGAGACATTTCTTTGTTCTCGTGTAATAAAGTTTTCGAGTTTGAAAATGAAGTTTCAAAATGCTCTTATATTAACCAGAATTAATTTCCTTGGCTACAATTTGGACTTAACATCCCTTTTCTAAAACTCTTCCATTTGCGACAGATCAACCCACCTTGGAAATTCCTAGTTTTTGAGTAAAATCCATATCTATTTCGTGAAAATCTTGTGGAGACGTATTCATCTATAGAAATTGTCCTGTGGAGACATACAATCTTTTGTTCCCTATTGTACACACGTCTCCAGAGGGCACGGTGTATCAGATCACACATGTAGGCCTACATACACCATAAACAGAAAAACCTTTGACATTTACAACTCAAAAGTCAAATCAACACCCATTAAATAACTCAATCTCCCAACTTAACACGATTATCACACTGTCAGACACCCCCAGCCACAGATCAAACTGCAACCCCCTCCCAGGAACAGAGGAATAAAAGTCAGTTACATGATAAACACAGTCAGCTGAGTATTAGAGCACACTGCCCCTTCAAAATGCACTCAGAGACCTTCCAACAAATTGATGCGGTTTTTCCCCAGGGGCCATAGAAATGCATCACTGGCACTGATTGTCAAACTAGATGCATGATCTTTATCTCTGAGCCAGGTCTGTATAGACTCCAAGCACGACAAGGTGATGTTCTTTATGATTATCATTATTATATATATTACATTTTAGTTCCTTATCAGCTACAGACACTGATCAACTTCAGACACTGATATTTGGGCATGGCATTAAGCTGGGCCCATTAGCAGAAAATTGTGCACTCAAGACTCTCAGCATCTCAGAAAGTTCATTTCGAATGGTGTGCCTGTAAGCAAGGAATTTAGGCTAAGATAACCAATATTTCTGTGCTTTCATACAGTACATGTACGTATGCTCCCAAAAAAGTGTCCATCTGACTATTTTTGAAATAACTACAAAATCATGAGGTCAATTTTGAAAATGTTTGGTTG